CACTATTAATCTTCCATGGAAGAGACAGGGACAGGGCTGGTACTGAGAGTTTGTCTGACCATCACATTGGAGGTCCACTGATATGTATTCACAAGCCCAAAGGCACTAAAGTCCCTGTATAAGGACCCAATTTTGCAATTTTGACAGGTTACTTCCTATCACCCTTTCCTCCTCCAAATCCAAGAGTCCCACTACCAAGGAACCATGAACTACATTAATTACCCTGAGCTCCAATAGTTTCCTAACATTCCAAGGCCACCAGACCCCTCATTCTCTGAACATTCCAACCAAGGATCAGGGTCCATATCCTACCACCTAGAGCAGCTCTCAGATACAGAAGGAAGCCTGTTAGTGATCCAGACCTCCCAAACTCTTCCTAGTACATTCCCTTCCACCCTGAGTTCTCCTACATCCCTGTAACAACCCCAGGGGACACCACCAAGCTCTGAGATAGCTGGGGTGCTAGGCCTGGGGGGCTACCATTGTGGGTGCTGATCCCTCCTCTTGAAGATCTAACATTTATGGGTAGACTTCAGGGGTGGATGTAGCCTCTTTGATGGCCTTTTCCCATCTCTTCTGGAAGTGAGCAGGAAGGATACAAGAGATTGGCTTGATCTCTACAAGACAATTATATAGCCAGTGCCATGCAAAAGTCTATTCCTGGCTACCTAGAAACCAAGAGTGGGTCTGCTCATGTGCACAAATATGGCTTTGACATCTCTGGTGTGCTTCTGAGGATCAGATCCATGACCCTGAAATATGTGTCAGAAGAAACTGGAGCTGGAACAACCCTCTGCTCTCTACCGCTAACCTCTCTCCTGCTGTTCAGACAGTGCATGACCTTGAAGGCAGATTCCCTGCTAGGTGAAGCCAAGGCTCTGCATTTTAGATATGTGTACATGGAAAATATCCACCAGGAAACCCTTGCATGGGAGTAGATGAACAAGGCTGAATTTCTTCTGGTCTCTTCTGGTTGGGTTCACTTTTCCTATTTCCCTGTTCTACTCAGCTGTGATTTAGAGCTGGTCAGAGGCTGAAAAGGAGCCCAGATTGGTTGGATAATGGGGAAAGCAAGTCAGGGTTTGAGATGACATGACTATGTTTTATCTTCTGACCTGCCCTTCAGCTTGGGTTGACCATTTGTCCTGGGGAACATGGCACAGCATAGTCTGGTGGAAACATCTTTGCAAGTCAGAAAAAACCATTTAAGTCCTGGCTCACTCATTCACTAGCTGTGGAACTGTAGGCAAGTGACTGCTCCCCTCGGAGCCTCAGTTTCTTTATCAATAAAATGGTGACAATCACAGACACTTCTTAGGAATGTTGGAAGAACTCAGTGAGTTCATGTGTTAGAGCCCCCAGCACAGGGTCTGCCGGTTCCTGTAAAGGCTGACATCTGGTCGGCCATCACTCAGGTCACACACAGAGAGGGCCAGCACTAAAAGCAAGCTGGCCCCTTCCATTCCCACCAGGGCTCTGGCTAGCCCAGGGTCTTCACACCAGGAAAGGTGAAAGGTTGCAATGTCAGGGTGCAGCCAAGATACACCCTGAAGCTACCTAGGCCATAAACACACACAGGTAGGGGCAGTTCCTGGCTTCTTGTTAATCTCTCATATCCCCTCCAAACAGGGTCTGTAGGAGGGGAGAACCACAGGAGCTCTCTAAGTGCCACTCTTTGGCACCCAGACACAAGAGGATGGCTCTTATAGTGGAGACTCAGAGAGCATCAGTGCTACTTTCCTCTGCTTACAGCAGGCCAAGCCCACCCTGGAACTGGGGTGGCGTGGGGAGACACCTTAAGGAAGGTGGTGTTTGCACAGGAAATTTCCTGGGTAAAGGGTCAAGTTCAAATTCCTGGGCACCGGTGCCCTGTCTCATCCAAGCCCTGCCACATACTTGCCACATGGGATCTTAGGGAAGTCAAACCCATCTACTAGCCTCAGTTTCTCCTTGCATACCCTGGCCTAAGACCTGCTCACTGCTGCCCTGTCTTCTTTGGAGGGCGGTTGGGTTGTATGAAGAGGCTGAGCTGGGAGAATCAGCCCTGGCCGGGACACCCCACCATGGCCTGAGTTTTTTACCAGTTTCTTTCTCCCTGGAGTCACACTTTAAATTCCTACCATTTGAAATAATAGAAGCCACTGTCATTTTTATCCGCCAGCTATTTCACCCCTTCCCGAGCAGAATAAATCCTAGGATTTGTGTTAAATAGCTCTCCCTCCGCCCTCATCCTGCTGGATGAGCCGAGATCTGAGAAAACAGCACACAATGGGCTGGTTTGCCATGCTACAGGCTCCTTGAAGGCTGGGGACAGTCACCTGGGGCAGTGGGCTGGAGCCCGGGGAAGCCAGGGGGACCTGTGGGGGTTGGGGGGCCTGGGGGCCTGCTCACATACACCTGGGAAGAGGCTCAGCAAAGGACAAGAGCGAGGTCATTGTGGGGTTCCTTTGTCTGCCTTTGCTTTGAGACACTTCCTTTTGAACCTCCAAAGTGACAGCCCTTCCTTGATCAAGTCTGGTGTCCCTGGACTTCCAGACAGCTCCAGAGCCTGTGCCAATGGAAGCGGCTTCGCGGGCTCCTTTCATGTCCTGTCCTCGTGGGCCTGGAGATCTGGGTTGGTGACCCTGCTCCTGTGCTAAAGCAGAGGCCCGGGTTGCTTGCAGAAGCTGAATATTTTTGTCCCAGCAAACAAAATAACGAGAGACAGACAGATGGATGTGGTATTAAAAAGTACGCGCTGGAGGGAATGTTTTCACAGTGTCTGATGAGAGGAAAAGAGGCAGCCCACTGGCCCAGCGGGACCCTTTCCAACACTCGGTTGAGCACATCACTCGAAAGCTCTGCCGACTGCTTGTTGCCTGTAGGACGAAGTCTGCACCCTCGGTGGGCATCTGTCTCCCGGACCCTGGCCCGTGGCCTGGCTCTCCCCCTGCAGTGCTGCGCCCAGCCGGGCAAGCCTCCCCCGTCTCCTCGTACTGCCCTTCCCAATGCCTTTCCCATCTCTTTGCTGTGCACATGCTGACTCTTGGCCTGAGCTCCCTTTTCCTCCTTGTGCTGTCTGCTGAGATCTGGCGGGAGTAGACGGCACCTCCTCTGGGAGGCCCCACCTTGCTCCGCCACCACTGCCCTGTGATTCAATTTCCCCAGTGGGCAGCGAGCTCTGGAGGGCAAAGGCTGTGCCCTCATTAGTTCTGTGCCCCTCATGCCCTGTCTAGAGCTAGACTAGCCGCCACGATGGAGCTTCCTTAGGTCCCAGGCCACCCCGAGGCTGTCGGACATTGTGCCTAAGCACCATCTAGAGACCAAAGTCAAGAGTGTCCCTGGCTGGTCCCCTCATAGCCTGAGAAAACAGGGAATTGTTTTCACTAAGAAGGGAGATGAGGCTAGCTTTCCCGGGGAGCTGGGAATGGGTTATTGAAATATATCTGACATTCTGGGCTTCCCAGAAGAACTGACATCAGGAAGAAAGAGCTAAATTCCCATTTGTGGAGCTCTCCGCTCAGAAGTTTCTGGCTTTATTTTTTCCCTCCATAAAATAATTGCTCAGCTGAGAAAAAAAAATGGAAAACAGTAAAGTCTCATTGCCGTCACCTGCCATTTTGAAATCCAGGATTTCATCACTGAGGACGGTGCCTCGGTTTCCTCAGCTGTGAAATGGAGATGGTGATGAGCTAATTGCTCTGTCCTGGGGGTTGTAAGGACAACGTGAGATGTCACTCGGAAAGTGCCAAGCACGACGCCTGCCGTACAGTTGTGACTTAGCCAGTGTTGGCCTCTTCTGACTCACTCATACTTTGAACAAGACCCTGGCCCCCCCAGACCTGATTCCCTTGGCCTACTTTAAACCAACTGGGTGTAACTGGGTCCACAACGGTCTTTTCAAGTGGCAGCTGGTTTCTCTAGGAAGGAGTTCGAAGGTGGAGATCCCAGTTATGCACAAGGCTGGGGCTCTACACACTCCAGACACCAAAGGGGCCGTCTTCAGACTAGCTCATCTCTCCCTTGCTCAACTGCTGGGCTGTCCCTCGTGGAGCATTTTAGGGACGTTACAGGGAAAGATCAGCCCAAGGGATTTCTCTTAGAGCTACACGCCCAAAGTCTTCCCTTCCCTTTTTTGACATAAGAGACTAAGATTTCACACCTCCCAAAAAGAAAGTTTCTGCTCACATACACTTTGGAAAATAATCAACTCTTGTCCTGCTTGTCTCTCCAAAAGGAAGCTGCCACCAAAGAGACACAGGGGTTACACTGCATGGGTCACCCTGCCCCAGGGAGGTGGTCTTTTCACACAAAGATAGGGAGCAGCAGCAAACTTCCCTGCAGTTCCACCCCTTCCCAGCGACCCCCCACAAGCAAAGGAAACCTTTCTCGGAGAGTGCTGCGGACACAGCTTGTTGGCCAGTGAATGACAGACGGTTAAGGCCCGGGCTGGGGAAGGGGTACAGAGTGTCTCGGGCCACAAGCCCATGCAGGTTCGGTGTGAGGACGGGGCCCTCTGCTGTGGCCTGGGGTGTACCCCAAGGCCACGCTGGTCCAGACAGCAGGTGTCTGGTGCCAGAGGCCCGCAGAGGAGATTGCAGGGGGCAGCAGAGCAGAGACCCCCAAGAGCCCCAATCTTTCCCATGACACGGAGGAGCAGAGCACACGTCTCCCCCCTCCTAGGAGAAGCAGGGCAGGGGAGGCGCTGCTGAGCCCCCCACCCCCGGCACCTGCACAGCCGGCTGCCACGAGGGTCACAAACTCAGAATGAACAAAAGCTAGAGGTCTGGGGACTGGAAGTCTGAGGCTTTGCTTGGGGGTGCCCTTCTGCCCGGGCCGTGGCTGTGGCTGGTGGGGCTGGAAGGGAAGTCCGGAACTTTCGGAGCAGCATCTCCTGCAGCCCTGGGAGACCCCTTGGAGGGCGCAGACACCCCGAGGAATGTCGGGCCATCAGTCTTCTTCTTGGAGTCGGGCAGGGGTGCCACCTCGGTCACTGCCAGTCACAGAAAAGGGGGCTTGGCCGCAGCAGCCTCTGGGCTCCCGCAGGCTCCCCATCCCATGGAGCTAAAAGGAGCTTAAATATTCCAGTGCCACCTCGTATACAAATTTATACTGTTCCTGAGAGGGGGACGGGAGACGAGAGAGAGAGATGGGAAGGAATGAGACAGAGCATTTAGTTTAGAGATACAGGTTTGGGAGAAAACTTCATCTACCTCAATATCACCCATATCTGGGCGTCCTTCAAAGTCTTGCTTCTACCCAGGCTTTCTTGAATGCCCGAATGGGATCACTCCCTTTCTTTTTACTGTTTCATGCAACAGTGCTTCTCAAACTGTGATGTGCACACAAGGCACCCAAGAATCTTTTTAGAATGTAGATTCCGATGCAGGAAACCTGGAGTGGGATTCAAGGTTCTGCATTTCCAACGAGCTCCCCAGGCGATGCTGCCATTGCCCATCTGTGGGTCACGCTTTGCACGGGACCTTGTCCTGAATGCGACCCCGCTTTGAGTCGGTCTGCAGTTCTCGAGTGTGGTCTGTCTCCGCCCGGCACCAAGCCCTGTAGTCCGGGGCTCTGCCTGCCCACTCTCCACGCTCGTCACCACCCTTTCCCCCACCGCGTCCTAGTTCAATGCTCTAAACCGGGAGCATTAGCATAAATGAATTAGAATGGAATTGGACTGAATTGAAAACATAATTCACATTCTACTAATCCGGAGGCCTTTCCTTTAAGCCTGAATTAATGACACTTTCTTAAGGAATGGGCAGAAAGTAAAACAAAGTAGATGTGCTGGGATTCATATTTGGATTTCCCTGCAGGAAGGAGAAATTGGGGGCGCTGGAAGGGGGATAAAGTGGGCAGACAACAGTGAATGCCCAGGGCACAGACTGTGGGTCCTCAGTAAGCACCCGGCTGTTGAGCACTTTTACTATGGGATGTCAGTGGCTTCAGGTCAAGGGAACTGCGGCTAGCCCCTGGCTGTTGGAGGCTAGCTCTTGGGACACTCACCAGGGTCTCCACCATGTTGGATTTGTTGTTACGCAGTGTTTTCACGATGTGGAACACGTCAATGATGTTTTGCTGCTGGATCATCTCACACACGCTGCAGATGGCACAGAAGGTTCCGCTGCGGCCTCCCCCGTTCCTAGACACAGAGGGGAGAGGTGAGCCCCATTTCCAGGTCCCCCTGCTCCTGCTGACCCGAAAGCCACAGCAGTAGTCGTGGGGAGTGGCTGCCCCAGCAAATGCATGAGAAGGCAACGGTGAGAGCCTGAGCCTGAGCCGTGAGTTACAGTTTGAGTCTCCCCTGTGCCATGAACCTGCTCTGACCTTGGGCAAATCACATCCCCCATCTGGTTCCCAAGTTTCCCCTTCATATAGCGAAGGGGTTGGGCTGGATAACCTTTAAGAGCTTAGTTAGCTTGATGTTTCCTTGGTTCTATGAGCACATTACAGTCACCCAAGGTACACTGACCCGAACCCCCAGGGCAGGACGACATTGTGTCCGTGTACACATAGTGCCTTGCCCAAAAGGATGCTCTGGGTCTATCTACACATCCAATAAAGGCCATAGAAATTTCCAGGCGACTTTCCTGCTAGTTCTTCCCATCCCTCACTAAGGGCAGCAATACTCTGTTAGCCTAGGACCAGCCAGCCCAGGCTTGGAGGCAGGAGCTGGGGTTGGCCTGAGAGGCTGTGTCCTGAAATGACATGTCTCTACTGTACATCTTGGTTTAAGGGTCTGGTCGTGATTATAGGGACAGAGGGCTCACAGCAGAGCCATCCCTGTTACTCTTTCTTTCTGGCTCTGTAAGTCATCTTCATGGAAACATCCTTCAAACTCTTTACATAAAGTCCTTTTAGGAATCTTCCTGATTCGGAACTCCTGGGCGTGTTGCCAAGAGCAACTAATGATTTCACGTAATGGTCTGTGTCTGAAGAACATCTGGATGGAAGCTAAGGCACTTAGTCAATCTCCCAGATGTTTTATCTACAGGACACCCAACAGCCAGATGTTTCGAGTACAGACAGTTGCCTTCCATTCACTGGCTGGTGCCTGCATTTCAGGGTCTGTAACAGAGTCTGTGGCCTTCCAGAATGCCAAGGTCTCTGTTGGTAGAAAGACACCCCTGTGCTTTCCTTTGGTTCAAACTACTGGTCATCTCGGCTGGGGGGGACATGGATTAAATAGGTACTCCTGCAAGAAAAGCAGGTCAAAGAACAAACAGAGGGAGAGCAGGGAGGGACTCCGGGAAGGAGGGATTGGTGATTTCTGAAGCAAGAATAACAGAGTCCAGAGGAAGAGGTGAGTGGACACAGGTGTCTCAGGGCCTGGTGGAGTGAGACCCTGGAGGGATGGGTGTGGCTCTGTGCCAATGGTGAGGTCACCTGCATGTGTGGGAGGGAACTACAGGCAGCAGGGATTATTTGACAGGACACCAGCTGCTGGCCTCTGGCATGTGGGCAGAGCCAGCTTGGCCTGGCTGATGTCACTCATTGACCTGACTTGGGACACCGCACAGCATCCTCCTAGACTCCAAACTCCACTGAGATTGGTGTCCTTTGGGAAGGGGGTTTAGCTCTCTTTTTCTGTGTGTGTGTGTGTGTGTGTGTGTGTGTGTGTGTGTGTGTGTGTGTAACCTCCTTTAAGCTCTCCGACTTTTTCCTGGTGTGTACATGCACCGCCTATTTGATAGAAGGAGAACAGTTAGCTGGTTTTGAAAAGACTGAACTCAATTCTGAGGTCAGTTAGATATTCTTAATGCCTCTACCTGCTCCAGAAATATTTGTTCTGAGAAAGAGAAGACCTTGGTTCAAATTTCTTTAACACAACATTTTAAAAGAGGGAGGTCTTCTAAAATTCTCCCCAAATCCTTTATGTTCTAAGAAGCAAAGTGAATGAATGTGACTCAAACATCCTGCACATAGCTATTATGTCTGCAGGCTTGTTTTGGGTCCAAGATCTTTGTAGACTCCTTCTCTGTGGTCACTTTGGACTCCTATGGTAGACTCCGTGACCCCTGCTCTTTTAAGTAATCACGTTTACAACATTTGCATATTTGCTACCACGACTTTTTTGATCTCTATATTGGCAGACAGATTGCATTTATTTTCTAACTATTTCATGTCAAAGCACTATGGGGTCTGAAGATTATCTAATTCAACATACCTACTGGACAGATATGGAAACTGAGGCTCACAAAATGAAGTGGTTTTCTGGATGCTACACAGCTTGTCAGCCACAGTCCTCTAAGGGTCCTGACCTCCACCCGGCGTAACAAACCAGGGTGCCCATTCAAAGACACGAGGTAAAGGCTCCAGTTCACACCAGTAATGGAGCTATAAACACACTGGCCTTGATCCCACTGTGCCCCTGGGAAACAGTGTTCCCAGGGTCCTTGGAATCCATCTATCAGGCTCTCTGTGTCCTTTTGTCCCCACTGAACCCCTAGTAGAGATACCCCAGGAGGGAGACACAGTGGACAAGTCCTTTGGTTTACTCAGAGGCAGTGTGTGTTAATAGATGGTGTTTCAGCTTAGAGCCCAGTGAATGCAAATCATAGCCCCTGTCTTGATTACCTGCTTAGCTTACCTTGCCTGTGCCTCAGTTTCCCCAAATGATAATATCTATCGCAAGTGGAATGAATGATTCATTTAGAATGTCTGCTTAAATTAAGCCCACTTAATCAATACCTTCCCTTTTCTCTTCTCTTCCTCCTTCAGGAGATAATAAAGGAGGCTCTGGTCAGTGGAACCCACTGCGTCCTGAGCTTTCTTGTGACTAGCAGGACACAGCACGTGGGGCTCATCTACTTACTGGGAGCACTGGGGAGTGGTCTGCCATTCTCCTCCCATGTTTGTGGAATGGCCACCAGGTTTTGTATCAACAGTATGTCATATAACAATAGTTCAGGACAACAGATTGGCAGCCCCATCCTGTTAAAGGGTTATAATTCCTTTGAATGAACCATTGGCCTTTAGGGAATGCTGAGAGGCATCTTCAAGGATGCTCTATCACCTGTCACCCCGCTGCACCGGCAGCACCTCCCCATACTCACAGGCAGTGGACCACGGTGCGTCCCTCCCTCCCGTCATACTGCTCCTGCCACTTCTCCAGCCGTCGGACCACTTTGAGCAGAGAGCGCTTGGAGGGGGGGGTGTCCCGGTAGGCAGGCCAGCCAATGTACTGGAGGTGCTGGACTATACGGTAACCGTCCTGTGGCTGAGAACAGAGAGGCTGTTAGGGCTGTTCTGCTGGGGAAGCTTGGGGCTGCAAGCCTTCCAGATTCCCTGGGGGCTGCAGCAGTGTAGTGGGAGTCAGGCTAACGGGATCTAAGCCATGTCCTCATGGAGAGAGTCGCAAGTTATAAACCTACCTTTATACTTTTGTGCATACTGGTTTTCCTGCCCTGACTACCCTGAACTTCTCGCTATCTGGAAAACACTCCTATTCAGCCCTTCAAAACCCAGTTCAAATATCCCTTTCTTTAGGAAAGCCTTCTCTGACTCCACCGGGCAGAGTTCCTCTCTCTCTCTGAGGCTCATGTGCCAGAACATATCTCACTTTCCCATTCAATAGTGAACTCTGAGGGCAGGGGCCGAGTTCCATTCACCCTGGGCCCCCAGTAGAGACCAAAGCTGCTTTAGCGAGCCATCACTCATAGATTACTAATCTACCCCCTGCCACCCAGCACCCCTCCATTCAGCCGGTGAATATCCGGAAGCAACTGATTATTGCTCACGGAAGCAACTGATCATTTTTCATCTTGGGGTTTGAAGGACCTGGCCCAAATCTTACTGGACCCAATCAAAGCCACGTCCGCACTGCTAAAGCAGCGTGGCACAGCGGGGAAGAGCTAATGCCTGAGAAGTTTTGTCTGCATGGCAGCAAGTTGTGTCAGGAAACAGGCAGATGGCAGGTTGGATGTCACTCTTTGCATCTCTGTGTTGCAGTCACTGCTGGGTCTGGGCTGGAACCAGCAGAGGCATCACTACCCGAGGAGGAGATTACAGGAGAGTGTAACACACACTCTTGGCTGGCTCAGCAGATCCTCTCCCGGCAGCCTCCATCTGGTTTGGGGGGGAGGCCCTGCACTCACCCGAGCCATATTACAGATGCGGAATATTCTGTGGATGATGTCCTCATCGATGTCCGCAGACACGAACTCCACCTGGATGGGCCCGTAGCACCCGGACGTCTTCTCAGGCCAGTACTGCATACAGAGCTGGGACAGGAGACAGGGCACAGGAAAAGGCCAAGGACAAGAGGGGTCGTCAGTCATGTGGGCCACTGAGCTGTTCCTATTGCTGGCAGGACACCCTGGGTGGAAAGGGAGTGTATTATGCAGGAAAACAGACTCCGCTTCCCCTTTGGTGCTGAAACGTCAAGCCGCTGAGCATAGAAACACTGGGCCTGAACATTTTGCCATGTGGGTTTCAAACCATGTGTTAGGCTTGCTGGATCTCAGTTTCCTAATCTGTAAAATAGGTAGAATAATACCCACCTCGAAGCCCTGCTGTCAGAATTAGATAGAACACTCAGGGAAGAGAAAATACAATTTTTTTTTTTTTTTTTTTTTTTTTTTTTTTTTTTTTTTTTTTTTAGCACCACACAGATCATGGCAAACTTTTTTCCATTCCAAGAAAACCTTCACATTGCTCATTCATGATCACATCATGAGTAGTTTTAAAAATACAGAGTTTGACATCAGTCTTTGGTCCAAATCCAGGCTCTGCTGCTTACTAGCTGTGTGACCCAGGCCTCAGTTTCCTCATATGTGAAGTGGGGATAATTACACCTACTTTGCGCCCAAGGTATGCCACATGGTGTTGAGGTCTTGCCTGTGATTTTCCCTGTTTATCTGGAATCGGGAATTTGGACCCACAGCCGAGAGCAAAAGGCAGTGGTTGCTGTTCCGTCTAAGACAGCGGTTTTCAGCTGGAGGCAGTTTTGTCCCCCAGCGGACATCTGGCAGTGTCTAAAGACATTTTCGATTGTCACACCTGGGGGTTGCTATGGGCATCTAGTGAGTAGAGGCCAAGATGCTGCTAAACATCCTGCAACGCCCAGCATAGCTCTCCACTGAGAGTCATCCAGCTCCCAATGTCAACACTGCAGAGATTGAGAAACCTTAGTCTAGGATCACAGATTATTCTTTAAGCTAATGGAGAGACAGATACTTCATTTCCTTGCATCTGTTGGGCCACAAGATGACTTTGGTTGAGGAAAGAAGATTGAGGTGGGTGGCAGGGTGTGTGGCTGCAGAGAGGGACACATTCCTGATTCCCAAGGGGCAAAGCGATGGATCCTGCCTAGATCAACAGGCCCCAGAGTTGGGGGACAGAGGAGAGCTAAGATTGGGGCTGCAGGCTTGCTAGGGACAAAGAGGTCAAGGGTTAGAAAGACCCTCCATCTGGGGGTTGCCCTGAAGATACAGTCAAGATTCACAAAGACCCCTCAAGGCTTCTGAGAGCATTTTAGGATTGAATCTGTCATCAGTGGGGTCTGCCACGGCCTACCCCAAGCTTGCAGACAAGGGGCTGGATTGGCAGAGGTGACCCACCCCCTTGGATGCATGGTTTTCATGAAAGGGAGCAATTGCTCTCCTCTTTTTTTTTTGAGACAGAGTCTCACTCTGTTGCCCGGGCTAGACTTGCCATTGGGTCAGCCTAGCTCACAGCAACCTCAAATACCTGGACTCAAGTGATTCTCCTGCCTCAGTCTCCCAAGTTGCTGGGATGACAGGCATACGCCACCATGGCCGGCTAATTTTTTCTATATATTTTTAGTTGTCCAGCTAATTTCTCTCAATTTTTTTTTTAGTAGAGATGGGGTATCACTCTTGTTCAGGCTGGTCTCGAACTCCTGAACTCAAACGATCTGCCTGCCTTGCTTTCCAGAGTGCGAGGATTACAGGTGTGCGCCACCGCACCGGGCCTCAACTCTCCTCTTTGTTGATCAAGGACAGCCATCTCAGGCTGGGAGTTTCACAAGCAAAGAATGTCTTTAATTCTCTCCTTCCTCCGGAACTGGAACTTAGAAGGGAAGAGCAGGGAGGCAGAGGGACATAATAGAGAGAAAAATGACATCTCCCACCTTCCTAGCTGTGGAAATCCCAAATTCTAGCCGAGGAATAACACCGCTCACCTTACAGCAGTGGCTGGCATTCTACAGCCCTCAGGCCCAATCCGGCCAGCCTCCTGTTTTTGCAAGTCAAGTTTTGTTGAAATTCAGCTACATGTATTTGTTTGCATATTGTCTGTGGTTGCTTTCGTGCTAGTCGCAGAGTAGGGTAGTTGCAACAGAGACCATATTGCCTGCGAAGCCTAAAACACGTCCTGTCTGGTTCTTTACAGAAGAAGTTTGCTAACCTCTGCTTGATAGGGTTGTTCAGAGGATAAAGGAGATGCTTTATATAAATAAAGCCCTTCTCACAGTGTCAGGCACAGAATAAGCAGTCACTAAATTCCAGTGATTCATACTATTATTGAACCCCCCCTTCAGTGCTCAACAAAAATAATAATAATGATAATAGCTATCATATACATTTGAAGCATTCAAATATATATATATAATATATATATAATATATTATATATGTATATATATATCAGCACCCCTCTTACATAGCAAAGATGCACAAGGCTGATTTTCATCATGCAATGGTGCCTTGTTCTCCCAGCGTCCCCACTGGGGGTTGATTGAGCATATTGAGAAAGCAGCAGTGTGTGTGTGTGTGTGTGTGTGTGTGTGTGTGTGTGTGTGTGTGGCGGGGGTGTGGAGGGGGAGGGCTGGGGTCTCAGGGGCCTCCGTGGCTGGGCAATCATCTGCTGAGCTATGCAATAATGACAAATCCACAATTTGAACTTCATTTCTCTTTGCCATTGGCTCTTCCGCCTTGCAACCTTCACAGTAATGAGGACCTGGTACAGATAAGTCTGTGACTGGCCAGAGAAATCAGAACTAATCAGCACTGCCCATTAAAAAAAATAATTGCCTTTATCATCTGCCTTGAATTTAGCCTCGTCGGAGTTTGGCTGTGATCTTGACATGAGGTGCGAGGATTCGAGGCATCAGGCAATGCCTATTACCCCCAATATTTTCAGTCTGGAGAGAACGCGGAATGATTTGTCTCTTTTAATAAGATTTCCAGACCTATTTTTCAAGCTAATAGGTTCTACTGTGCCTCAAACAAGACCGCCTGTATTTCAGGACGCTTCTCTGCATTCGATTTTCTGGGTCACTCTCCCATAATGCCCGGGGACGAGGGAAGGTTGCAGGGCCTTTCCAATCCTAAATCAGAGTCATCCTTTCACAGAGTCCCTAATTCGTGAGACCGCATCAGCAGCAGAATGGGGTGACGGTCAGCACGGCCATGCGTGGGCAGACGTGGCATTCGAGCCCCAGGCGTCATCAGGGACTCCTCTCCCTCATGTGGTTTTGGCCTGTGTCTGTGGCACAGCAAAAGGTGGGAAAACGTGTTGGGGTCCCTTCTTGAAGCACCTTGGGTTCAAATCCCAGCTTTATTACTTTCTAGCAGAGTGACTTGGCCAAATCTTTTAGCTTCTCCAGGTTGTCAAGAGTGGCTGTGAATTTTAATGTCTACTTAGCACAGGAACCCGCATCGAGTGAGTACTCAATAAATGTGAGCTATAATTATTAGGTTGTGGGAGGGGGGAGGGTTACTAGAAACAAGATGGATAAAGAGAAGTTTCATTTTTTCCTCCACTTAGTAGGTCATATGCAAACTTTGCTTTAGGGTCATACCCAAAGGACTGCCTTTGTAGAAATTCTTAACCAGCCAGCCTGGGGCAGCTGGGAAGACGGGTGGCATCCCAGATATGCGACACTGCACGTCAAGAAAGAGAGACTTGTAGTTGCTCTAAAGAGCTGAAAGACACAGAAGATAGAAGAGGAAGGCTGGGAGCGCAGTGAAACCAGTGAAGGATAGAAGGTGACTCAATGTGTCATGTGACCCTACTCCTAACCTCCTAATATTCTGTAAATTTATAATAGCATGTACAATGCTCAGTGTGCTTGGATTTCTTGTGGAAGCCAGCAGGGAACTGAGCTTTGCTCCCTGGCTCACTCAGAATTGGATCAGAGACCACGAATGTGAATGGAGGAGCAGTTTATAGAACTGTTGGGGAGGGGAGCCTCATGGTTTCTTAAAGCCCTGAAAATAGGGATTCTAGGAAGCCCACTTGATTTTCTAAGACCATGAGGACCTGGCTGATCTAAAGCCACACTTGTACTCAATGCAACCTTGGTATTTTCTTCCTTAGACGGAAAACTTGTGAAGTTGGCTGACCCAAGAATAGACTGACTATTCTTTAGCCTCGAGTTCAGACCAACTGACTTTCTGCCTCGTCTCCTAGTGAGTGGCCTCCCCCACCCTGCCTTTCCCAATGGCCTGGGGGTAGGGCAGGGCTGCCTGAAGGGGGGCCTCACCACTGCAGAAAAACAGTGGCCCTCACCACACCTGAGAGGGGGAGCCAGTCCCATTGTTGCTGGTGCTTTAGAAATGACCGTGCTTTTTTCCAGAAAAACAGGGGCGTTTGCTATTTATTGTCAGGGCGAGTTCAGCCGAGCAGAAGTTGTGGCGCCCGTGTGGACAGCCCTGGAACAGCTGCCGCACATTATTCCACCCCGTGATCCCCATAGCTGCTCGGGCCACGAAAAGATGTCCTCTGGGGGCCCAGGTTCACGCGCGAAATCTCACAAACGCAGAGGTAGCCTCACTCGTGGAACATCTTTTTCTTGCTGATGGAATCAGAAAGCTTGTTAGTTGCTGGAATAAACACGCTCTGATGAGTTGAATGAAAACTAGCATATGGGCCTATTTTTGGAATAAACAATTTTAAAGCATATTTCAGGGCACCTTAGTGATGCCTTCCATTAATTAAAAAAAAAATACTTTAATGAAATGGAAAAGCCACGTCATATGGAAGCTCCAGAAATGCAGGACTCTACTTGTCAAGGTCCCTGAGGCCCTGCAAGGGGATGCGGGAGAGCGACCCCAGGCCACCTAAAGGTGAAGTGAATGGGTACTTTTACGGGAGAAAGATAACAGAGTTTCCCGAATTGGTTTGAAAATTCAGCTAAGTGGTTCCAAGACTCCTTTAAACAGATTCTACAGAGATCCAAACATAATATAAAAGGCTTTGACAGTGTGGCCAGTTAGCGATGACACACTGTGGGCGGAGGGATGAGTAGAAAGACGCTG